CCATCAAACTCCTAATCTTCTGTATCTGAAATGATCGGCTGGGCAGGTTCCCTCGTGCCATTGTCACGCTCAGTCTCGTTGCCGTGCGGCTCCTCAGAAATGATTCCGGCTTTTGTGTAAGCTAGAACAACAGTGCAAGCAGACATGTTAGTCTAAGCGCTCAGAATCCGTTGACGAATTGTCCCGTAACTCTTCCAGGGCTGCCTCCCAGCTTGCAAATTAAGTACAACAATAAAATCAACAATAAAAGCAGACTTATTGTTGATTGTTACTGTGCTGGTCCCCTTCTGGATCTATGTTGTGGTTCACCAGGATGTCGAAAGTGAGGGGCACCTTGTCCATTTTGGTGATGTGGTTGGGCTGGATGCGTTTGTCTACAATATATTTGTTGCATTTCAAAATGCAAAGTGTACTTGTCCCTCATCACTTGCTGTAGCCCAAGCGGGTATGCTGTAATGCGGGGATTGGTTGAGTGAACAGTCAGTAATGGGAGCCAAGTGAGGCCGGCAGAGCGGCAGAATAAAGAATAATTAAGATCTCCAAGAAAGCGTCTATATTTAATGTGGTGCTTCTCAAATAGTGGGGCGCGCCCCCCTGGGCGGGCGTGGTGTGATGCCAGCTGGGGTGCGCGTCTGACTCTGGGGAACATGCGTTTTTTTTGCTCAAGAAAAATAGAATAAAGTGTAATTGCACATCCACTACAGCAGTTGGCAGTGGCACCCTCATTTTTTTTTTTTCACTGAGCAGGCGATGTAAAGTGCAGTAAACAAAGCCTCAGGAGACCATGATTTTTTTTTCTTTTTCAACAGAGATGAAAAAGGCGGAGAGAGACAAAGATAATGAGACAAAAGAAAGTGACGCGAAAGCTAAGTCAAGGAAATGTGGGAAGTGTATGTAGCGCTTGGCTTCACTGTGACGACAGTAAAGCCGAGGACGTGTTGACTGTGTCGAAAATGCTGGCAGCGGATAGCATGAAGCCAAATAAATCAAGGCGCCACTTCAAGACATGACACCTCAATCACGCTGATAAGCCCCTGGAGAAGTTGTGCACTGCCTGAACGTGCTTATTGTAGCCATCAATCCTGACCACATAAGAAGTCGGACAAGTTTCGGCATTCTACTCAAAAATGAATACGTAGTGGTTGTGTATGGTATAAACGCAGCGTATGCCGTTTTGTACTTAGTAGATCAGGGGTGTCAAACGCATTTTTGTCCCGGGCCACATTGTAGTTACAGTTTCCCTTGTTGGGACCGTTATGAATTTTGGGAAACCATATAAATGTCTGATCACCTCCACATATTATATACACAACGCACAACAAATTGATGGATAACTAGTTTTAAAATCAGAAGTCAAGAATAACTGCTGTTGTTGGGGAAAACATGACAATTTGAAATTTTGGTTCAGACATTAACAAGCATCATGGAATTTGACATGCTTGATTTGCTTTCGTGGGCCACATAAAATGATGTGGCGGCCCAGATCTGGCCCCCGGGCCTTGACTTCGACAACTGCGTAGTAGATGGTGTGCGTCGCGATCTTGCGAAAAGATAGAGTGCATGGCAAAATGAAATGTAGAAAAGCCACACACAAACCATGAAGTGACAATATTAGTGTCCAAGTCACTGTTCTGCTTGGCATGTCTCTCCTCACAAAAAGCTTGTTTCTCCACTTTTTGTTCAGAAACTGTTGTTTTGGGGGGAAACTAACCCATGTTTTACTGTTAATGGCTTTGGAACAAGTTCTATTCTCTTGTTTCGTAATGAAGCTTTGCAAACAGTGTCACATCCCAAACAGCACTCGCTACCTTGGAAGGTGACTGATTTTATCTGTGCAATGGCTGCTTTGTGAGGAATAAAATTGAAGCAACCAAAGCTTTGCCCGTGTTCACCTTTTTGTATTGATTAATTGATTTGTTAAATCCTATTTTCAAATGCTTGATTAACGTGGACCCCGATTAAAATGTCACCAACCTGAACTCCGCAGATCATTTATTGCTGGCTCGTGAGCTAGAAGTAATTTAATGAGTCTCGGGAAATGACATTTTGCCCGTTTTACGCCCGCGGCGCTCACACAGAAACAGAGCAGCTCAAAGCAGAGCTCGACTGCGTTTGTTGACCGCTGCGGTTCACTTAGCATTCATGTGCGACATTAGCAGTGGAGCTTACAGATTCCATGTCTGGCTAGCAGCTTGGCGTTGCTGGAATGGTTAATGTAGCGTTTAAACGGCCAACTTGTGATGTGACGTCTAATTCTGAATGCTGTACGTCATGTTTGCTTCAGCGTGAGATGTCATCCAGGATGGTTTTAATTCACGGTCGGCAATCAGTGCCACTGTTGCGGCAAAATGTAATATTACAAAGCATCTCAAGACATTAGTTGACAGGTCGATACAAAAAGGTCCAATGAATTATAAATGCATTTGCTGCAAGCTGAAATAATGTGCAGTGGATTGAATGGGTGCGTACTGAAAGCCCACTCAGGAAGTTTTGCCCTTCAAATCAGAGCTGTGGCATGCTTCACACAGTCGTCATTTGCTTCAGTAAGGTAATCATTAAAGGTTGAACGGAGGTTTCCAAAACGTTTTGCGTCCAGGGAACCCTTACAGGGAAGAAATGTTTCATCAACTGTATAATCCTAATGCCAATTCTACATAACTAGCATGTGCTAGTTATGTATAGATATAATATAGAATTACAGTCAGCAATCATTTTTCCCCATTGAAAAGAATGAAAAGGCCATTGATCTAGCCTTGCCCAAAACCAAGACATGTTTTTGTCACTTTTTTTTGTAAGGAAAATAGCACAATAATGGTTCACTCTCTAAAAACACAATACTTATTAAATAGAATGTAAATGTATTAAACAGTTTGTGCATGATTCATTCATTGTGGCTTCTTGTGTTATCAATTATATTTGTTCGCCCTTCTATGGCATTTCCCTTTATGTGTTAGCATTAAGCTCGCGCACTTCAAGGCAATTTATGTGGTGGTTTGAAATACACAACATGTTTTGTTTAGTTTGACAGTTAACGTCAACTGGGAGTGGCGTTAAACAGCTTCAGTCCTTCTCTTTGAAGAAGTGTTCACTATCTTCCAAACAGTTTGATGTGAAGTGAGTCGAATTTGGTTCACTGCCACCACACAGCTTGTATCTAAATTTTTTGCCAACAAGTCGAAGTAAAAACATTGGCAGGGCAGTATCTCGAAAAGTTCTGCTCATATACTAAACCATTTCCCTGCATCCTGTCTCAGATGCGTGCTCTTGCCTCTCCTGAGTGCCAAGCCGCCGCCACAGGCTCTCTACCTGCTGGTGGACTCCGTGGACGAGGGTGGCCAACTGGGCGAGGCGGACCAGAGGTCACCGCCGGGCTCCCCCAGGACCATCGCCGAACTCCTCGCCAGCCATCACGAGTTTCTGCCGCCGTGGCTTCTGCTCATCTGCTCTTCACGGAGGCAGAACAAGGCCATTACTAAACTCTTCACAGGTATTTGGGGGGGGAACAAATACAACAACAAAAATCATCCCTTCACATAACACTTGTTAGTCTTGATACTTTCCACCTGAAACTTTATTCGTTGCCAAGGATGTTCAAGTAGTATCTCGAGCGTCTCGACTTGCTTGAATGACATCAGTGTCACCAGCGCGGTGCTTGCCTGACGTCTTGTGACACCAGCCGCTGTTATCTTGTCAGGCCAGCCGCCATCCCATTGATCAACGCGCAAGAGCTTTCCAGCGCCCAGGTCGTCTTTGTACAATGAAACTGAATTAACTGCAGTCATAACCTGACATTATGGTGCTGTTTTGCATATTTTATTTTGGTTTCCAGCCCAAAGTGAGGCATTGTGAAAATGTGTTTGGAAATATGCCACGTGTTTTCAAGGTGAGAATTTGCAGTGCATTGTGTCAGACGGAACAATAGGGTGACGAGCTGTTCAAAGGAAGTGGAGGAGGCATTTTGTCTCTTGTCTTACTACTTTGTAGCTCCATTTGACACACCTTTGGCCCCTCTGCCACGACAGTCATATTCGTAAACAAAGGTTCTCCTTTGTTTCTACAAGCGGCACATATTTTGTATCTTTTTTTTTTTTTTTAATTGTGCATATACTGAAAAATGGATTCCCTTGTCTGAATTTATGGACATGACACACTCACACACACACGCACACACACACACACGCACACACACCCTTCCACGAAACTGTAGATGTCCAGGCTAGATTCGATTCTGGATGGCCATCACAGCGCAAAGAATCCTCTCTCTCATTTTCTAACACAGCACAGATGGTTTTGGATTTGATTTTGTGTCTTTAATTGGACATTTTGAGTCACACTTTCCAGTGTGCGAGGACCCGCATCAAATATCTCAGGGGTTATGTCCTTTAAATATGGCAGCGACCGCAGATCTTGGCCCAGACTACTGAGTAGGACTCAAAATCGCTGCCCGCCTGTTGCCGTTTTGGAGGGTTTTTTTCATCTTGGAAAAATGTGATAAACAGCTGTTATCTTCCTCCTCCGTCGTTCTCGACCCCCTGGTTTCACTCTTCCTTTTCAGGGGCTCTTTGATGACGGCTGGGCCTTCGTCAAGCTCTGTTTCAAATTGCCCAGCAAATGGCTGTAAACATTCTGCTGGATGGGTTCCTTTTGAACACAGGAATTTACCCATCACATGCGATTCCACCATTTTGAAAGGAACTAAGGCCATAGATTTTAATATCACCCTTCTTTCTTGCACGTGTTGCTATGTGAACGTTCGCTTCAGGATGTGTTATAGCACCTCATTTATTTCCTTATTGAGTTTGTGCACTGGCACAATTTCGCAGCTCTTACAATAGCCTTGGCTTTCCTGCTCTGCGGATGCTTTTCGCGGCGCTTTTTGTTTTGTCTGGATTCAGTCTTCCGCTCTGGGTTGACTACAATAATAATAATGACTTTGCTTCTTGAAGGCATACGCACAAACAAAACAGCGGAACCCATTTTCTGTGGCCGACCTCCATTCATTTTTTTGTTTACAACAGAGTTGTGTTCCTACAACATAGACATGACCCAATTTTGTATCTACTAAGTCGGAACACACATCTCTGTTGCTAAAACAGTCACTTCTTGGCCATAAATGTAAAACCACATTAAAAGCAGTACACCACAAGGGTTCCTTGACTCTTGTGGTTGGATTGCACATCGGAAGGTGTGCAAACGCATTCTGTTGGTGACTATGTTGTAGGTTGCGACGACTGTAAACCAGGGACGCCTGTTCAGTGCGATCTCCAAAATCAAGCATAACTCATTCAGTTAGCTGGCCGACGTTTGATTTGGTTGACATTTATGGTGTATTTTCATAGAGCATGTTGGTTGAGACTCGAAATTGGCCACATTTGAAATCCTTTGCACCTTTGAGTGTCCCCTCCAAAAAAATATTGTCCACTAATTCTGGTTTGGCGATGGTTTGAGGTTTTGTGGATAAGGTTTGCATAAAACTGTTAACCACAGGACCATAACCATAAGAATTCTTGTGAGGAGAAGAAGCGCAGTTGTGTCTGGGAGTCTGACACGTACCATCAAGCGTGAGTTGGAATTGACTTTTCCTGATATCATTGACCCCCCACTCGCAATCCTCTCACGGTGCACAACTCTATATTCTTCTTCCTTAGCTCAACTGTTATTCCCTGTGTCCATCTCACACTTTGGAATGCGCTCTGGGAACTTTTCAACACCTCTGAGACCAGAGCAGGAAGAAGGAGGCTTTTCTGAGTCATGCAGTAGAATGCCCCGCTTGCATCCGCTCGCCTTGCAAACAAAGACGCCTCTGTTTGTGACGGTCAGGGTGCAAATCTGGATCTCCTGGGTACTTGCGTGTTATGACCACTCATTTATGATGAATCCTCAGACTTCCTCCGGGTCGTGCTTGGAATTTCCAGACTGAAGGGGGAAAAAAAAAAAAAAAGAGTATGTAACAAATCTATGGAGAGAGAACATGCTGCTTTTCCAGCACCTCCCCCTCAACTGAGTACAGTGCTACTGTACAGCCCCGATAGGGGCAGTGGAGTGGAAACACTTAGGTGGCAATTTTGGTCAGGAGCTGAATAGAGTGCACGGCAGTTTTGCAGAGCCTCGGGGGCAGAAGGCAAAGCAAAGGAGAGGGCGGAGACATGCAAGTCGGCCTTGCAAATGAGACGCTTTTTTGAATTATAGATCCTTCAAACCATGTGGGTGTGAGATTAAAAATAAAAAAAAAAAAAGAATGGTGAACACAGTCCAATTACTTGGGCTCCTCCCAACTGTTGGAATTTTCTTTGAGTCTCCAAGACTTGAAACATCCTCAGTTGAAGGCAGAAAAATCCCATTCCTCAACCGTTTTCCTTGTCAATTTTCTATGTTTGCTGGATAGAAAGAGCCCAAGGGTATCATAATCTGCAAAAGTATCTGACTTTCTGCAGTTATTAAAAAGAGGAGGACACGAAACCTTTGATGAAAACTCTTCGTGTTTTCCAAGCTAGCTATGAACCAAGCCTGGCTTTCAGGTACTGAAGAGACGGGTAGATAGAAAATGATAAGGCATCAAACTGAGTGAGCAGAATGCACTGCAGATATTCAGCTTCTTCCCCACGTTGAAATATTGGTGCAACGTGTTCCATTCCCTGCAACGTAGCACCCGTCAGTCTGTGATCTCTTTAAACCTAGTGGATGTTCATTATTGTTTCAGTCTGAGAGCACATCTTTTCTCACACGAAGGACCGATTGAATTTTTACTCATCTTTCTCATTCACCCTTGATTGATCTCTCGTTTGCATGCCTGGTTCCTTTGTCTCGGTAACAGTAGTTGAACCTATTTCATCCACCACGTTACACACTGTGACCTGGTATGGTCGGAAAGTGATGTGAATTGCGAATGGATGAATACTACAAGATAGCAATGGAACTGCAATTGGCTGGTATACAGGCAAAACCACCAATTACAATCTACACTTCGCTAGTCGATGCACTGCAGCCTACTCAATTGACCACATACTTTAACTATAATATAATCGAACCAATCAACTGTTTCAGACCAATGAAGTACGAATATTTGTTGACTGCAGTTATAATCCATCATCTAGAGATGAAGTGCAACTGGCGCTGTGAATAAGAATCCTCCCAGGCTCTCTTTACATGAGGTTATTCCAGCTTTGCGCTGTTAGGGCAAGTTCACTGAGTTTCATTTCCCCAATCAAGGCATCCATCATTTCCTTTTGTTACGCCATTTTGATCCCTCCATAAACTTTGAACTAGCCGCACATTCATACTCGCATTAAATTCCCCCCCCCCCCCCCCGACCAACCCCCCCCTGCCGTAATGAATCACAGCTGTAATTAACTCTGCGATATTCCAGGCTCTGGCTGGGGAATGCCACTCAGAGCGTGCAGCTGCTACTCATCTTGTGAGGTATGTCGGCTGGGGAGGAGGTTCCTCAGATGACACAGTTGAGGGCTGTATGACCCAAAACTAATCAGGTGGTCTTCCACGTTTTAAAGCTCTTCAGTCATCCCTGGGAGGAGCCATAATAAATTCCTATCTATTGTACAGTTAAAAAAAAAAAAAAAAAAAAAAAAAAAAAGACGACGTGTGACTCAGACCTTGGCCTCCTCGCAGCTTGTTTAGCCCACCCTGGAACCAGCATGAATCACGGCCCTCACCTCGCTGTGCCCGCTGCTGTGAATGGTGCGTCCTTTTAGCCCAAGCTGCCAAGAGACACAACAGATTTATTGCAGACAATCACAAAGGAGAATAATCTGTTTAAAGCGCCACTTTATCTCTCAAAGATGTCCTTTGTCATCGAGGCCCGCAGCGGAATCTCAACTCCGTGCTGCTGCAAAAAGGTCAACGTCATTTTTAACATTTCCCTGTAGATACATTCTTGTTTGCGATTTATTTATTTATTTATTTTAGACTGCCTCATTTGGAGGTCACGGCTAGAGCTGCTGGCACGCTGACAACACAAATAGTCGTAAAGCAGCAAGATTGTTTTACTTCTTCTCGAATGCAGGAATGCTCCCCCAGGAGACAAAGATACCTTTGAATCATCCCTAAATGACTTATTTAGGTGATGGAGATGTACCACCGCGAAAGACTGACTGTAACTAAATTAATCGAGCACTTCATAAGGGATTACACAGACCTCATGAATTAGGAAAATAATCTGTGAATGTGTCTTTATTGTTGAGAAACCAAAAGAAAATCCTCTTGGAAAATAGGGAAGTCAGCCTTACAAGACTATCTGCTTTAAGCAGTGCACGCACGTACAGAATTTTAACATTTGAAACAAATTTTTGTTGTTTTTTTTTTTTTTTTTTTTTGTTAATGAAATAAAATCCACATCAAAGTGCAGAGGTGCAGGGTTGGATTCCAGCTCCAGCCTTCCTGTTGTGCGGTTTGCATATTCTCCCTGTGCCTGCGTGGGTTTTCTGTAGGTACTCCACTTTCCTCCCACATTCCAATTTTACGCACATTAGGTTAATGGAACGCTGTAAATTGTCCCTAGGTGTGCGTGTGAGCATGGATGTTTGTTCGTCTGTGTGCGCCCTGCAATTGGCGGGCTCCCGATTCAGGGTGTCCCCCCTCGACTGCCCGAAGACAGCTGGGATAGGCTCAGGCACCCCCCGCGACCCTTGTGAGGATAAGCAGGTCAGGAAATGGATTGATGGATGGGTGGGAATAAAATAAAAATGCTTTCAAAATTTCTTTCGATATTACTGTATGGCCATTCATCAGAGGAAGAGAAGGTCAAATGCTTGTCTGGGAGCTGTAGTCCTCTTAATGTATGCCGCACAAAAGTGACATCATCAAGCAGCAGCCAACAAAAAAGTAGCCACCAGTTCACTTCACTCCTAGGAAATGAGATTGTGTGTGATTTTGGCTCAATTGGCTCCCCTGCTTTTGTCTTTTACCTCGGTCCAAAACACAATGCTTTCCTTTTTTGTTTCATACATGAAAAAAGTACAACATACAAAAAAAAGTACACTGTTCAACCGGGTTTATTACTTCTCGCCAAGAATTCAAGCTACAAATCCAGTTTACGAGTTGGCAACTTGGCAAATGAGACATCCTAGCTTGATTTAATTAGTATCCATGCAGCTAACTTTAGAAGCGGTGTTGTGCACTGCACTTATTGTAATTTAAAGTCCGTGGACTGTTAAACTGTACCCTGGATTGTACAAAATGTTTCAAAATATTGTTGAATTTTAATGAGACAAGACTTAGTATGGTGGTTCTTTTTCTTGCACACAAGTAAAATGGCTAACACAAAAATGATGTGTTTTTGAGAAAAACTAAAGTGAACAAAAATTAACAAATCTGACCTGAGAACTAATTAAAATGAACTAAATTAAAACAAACAAAAAAACAAAACTCAAAATGAAATAAAACCAACTATAATTCCAATTCCAAAACCATAATAACCCTGGTCCCGATTTGATAACCGGGACTCGATACGACCAGTTGTGTCCGGCAGTAGTGCAGCACTTCCTTATTGGATATCGTTTCGTTAACATGTCACAGTCACGGAATCCGTGGGTCATCCCAACTTGCCGTTAACCACACCCTATTAAGGATTTGTGAGCGTGACTTTTAATAGAATTTAATATTTATGACTGTTGCCCTTGACTATTTTCCAAGCAGATCAGAAGGAGAAAAGTCACTTACCGCACCCCACAGCACATAACAATCACTTGGGATAATGTTCTAGGGTTCACAAGCAGGAAACGTGCTTGAATTTGGCCCAATTATTGGTGTGTGTGTGTGTGTGTGTGTGTGTGTGTGTGTGTGTGTGTGTGTGTGTGTGTGTGTGGACCTTGTTTTACAGTGAAAATGTTGTACATTTCAGAATTGGAAATTGCAAATTCAACAAGGAGATTGATTATGATTGAAGGAATATCTGAACATTTTCCAGGCATGATAATGCAGTCCCCAAAATGTCATCATAGTGACAAACGGAATCCAAAAAGCACATTTGGGTTCAGCATTCATGCATGAGATGTCATTTTCAAGGCTGCGAGATGCGCCCAAGACCGTAATCTTGGCTGAGTACAGTAATTTCACCAGCACGCAGTCTGACGCCTGGTTAAATTACAGGTCCACCAACGCCACTGCAGTGACATGGCAGACGAATCGGTGTAATGCCCTGTGGTATGTGGCATATCTCTGCCAAGCACTTAGGCAGAGCATTTTTTTTTTATGTTTCTGAAGCACTAAGAGGTAGACTTGTCATATTATGCTTTAATTAAAGGGTGTTATAATTAGGTCTTAATTAGACTTTAGCACAGATAAATACAGAGGGAATTGCTGGCACCTTCTGTCTGTTCTCGTTCTTGTTGCTTTTAGGTAGCTATCTTTTGCCTTATGACCTGCCCGCTAATGATAACATTGCGCTGATGTTTGCCTTGCTGCCGCGACTATTATTATTCTTATTATTTTTTTTTGTCTGGATAGATTCCCCATTAAACATTAAAACGCTTCCAGATCTTCCTGGCGCTGGTTTGGTCAGATAGCATGAATAATTTGCAATGCGCGCATTGGTTCTGCCAGTGTCAGGAAACGCGGAAGAACGCTTGAAACCAGTTTGCCGGGAAGTCAGCGAGTGTATTTATGAACAAAAACACAAGGCCAAGTGCGAGGAAATACGATCCTGCGTCACATGAGGTTGAAACTCGCAGCACTCGCAGCTTTGTCACACCTCGAGTAGGAAAGTTGCACGTTGCAAGTAAATGCTACATAGACATCTTATGTTAGATTCCTATGGTTATTAGCCGCTTGTATTTATGGTCGCTGGGTTTAGTCAGGCTATTGTTACACATTGACGATTGAACTGGTTCTGTTATTTTAGTTCAATGGTGCCGACGTACAACATCTGGAATGGTGCGCAATTAACTAAAAACAAACTATCAATAAGTTCTACATCGATGATTTGCCTTTGACTTTGAGAGTTCTTCATCTGTGAGCAATCTCGGAATGAAATTTCAAATCAACAGTACTGACAAGTTTATTGATATTGGAAAATGCGTGTTTACTTTCAACAAGAAACCCATTGCAGATTATGCCAGAACAGCCGAGTAAAAGCCAGAGATTTTGGTGAGAGGTTTCACATACAGAATGCAAGGTTAATCCGTAATTACAGCAAGCCGGAAAGACACCGACAATCAATTCCCACAATCGTATTCGTAAGAGGCCAAAATAACACCGCTTACTGTGTATCGATTTTTAGTTTTAGCTGCCTAATAGGGTGCACAAGCATTTAATTCAATAGGTCCAATTGGAAGGATGGGCATTTGACAATATTTTATGGATCAATTCTGAATATTACCGTATTTTCCGCACTAAGGAATATAAGGCGCTCCTATTTTATAACTGTTTTCATATATGGGGCATAGAATGGAAGCTACAATAGTGGCTGAGTTTGAGTTATGCATCCACTAGATGGAGCTACGTTAAAAGTACAATACAATACAGCTTTATCTAGATTGCATATTTCACAACCGCTGCAGCTGTAACAAAGAGCTTTACAGAACATTTAAAATACTACGTCCAAGAAATCTGAATATAAACCCATAAATAAGGCGCATCGGATTATAAGGCACACTGTTGGCTTTTGAGTGCGGCTTATAGTGTGGAAAATACGCTACTAAGGGTGGTAGTCCTTCTCCTGCTCAGAGGGAGCTGGGAGGCACTGCATTCAACCACAACCCTAGCGAACAAGTGTTATCGAAAATGGCCAAATGTGTTCGTGATACGTGCTACTGTTCAAAGGTTTGGGGTAATTTTGAAAGCTCCACATATTTTCTTAGAGAAAAGCCCTGTTTTAATTCATCCAAAATACTCGACAGTAGAAATTCTGAATGGAGCAGTGGTTTTCACTTCAAATTAAAAAAGCGACCATTAAACTTTTGAACAGTAGCGTATAGATTGATCAGCAAAAGTCAAATTCAACTATCCATAGCTGCTCCCATGTTGTTCTTATTCAACGCAAATTAGTTTTAACCGAATAAACGGCACCTTAAACAAATCCAGTGTGGCACTCCTTTTCATCAACCATCAAGCAACTCTTCAAGATAAATGTATCCAAGATTAAAGTTTCCAATCTCTAAGAACATCTAGCTCGACAATCAAAAATTTGCTTTGGCACAATTCCAGTCTAAGATTACACGTTCAAATGGAAATTTAACATTTGCAATACATCCATCCTGTCGCACCAATCTCATCAATCGTTTCTAGTGAACATGCATTTGCAATTCATGAAAGCACCGGCTTTCCAGCGGAGCAAGACTGATTGGCCTCGTAGGTTATTTGAGTACTTGTCAACTTGCTCAGCTGTGCTGTTGAAAGAAACCGTGAGATACGACGATAACTTAGCAATACGTTGGCTTGACCAGGTGCACCCGCCTTACAGATCCGTGTCCCGTTGCATCGTAAATGAGCTCCCGTCACTCAAAAGTCGCAGGTCCGGCAGCTGAACTGTGTGTTGTACTTTGTGTAACAACCCAACCCTCCCGTTACCCCCATTTCCCTCCTCAGAACTGTTCAGTTACCCCACAACAGGAATAACTGGAAACTGGCTTGCAATTTCGCACAGGGCATGTTTGAGCATGATTGTCGCCTCCAACGCAACGTAATTCATTAAGTGGAACGATTTTGACGCAGTGGCCCTAAAAAGGATTTTCTCCAACAGTCTCTGCCTAAACAGCCGCAGAGAGAGAAGCAGAGAGCTTGGCAAACAAAACAATATCGCTCTCAGATGAACTAACCGCACTTCTCGGCAGTCCCTTGTGGTCCTCATACTTGTGTCGAAGAGTTTGGCGCTCTGGTGTTTGCTGGAGCGCTGAGCGGCGCAGCTGTCGAGCAGACGCTGTCGCGCACGGCTTTGCCGGTGCATCTGAGGGCAGGCGGGCTTAGGTTTCTGTTTTCTTTGCTGATCCACTGACCTAAGACGCCTTCCCACAAAAAGGAATGCGGACGATTCGAGACGCTGCACCTCATCTTAAGACACTGTCCCATGTGCTCATGCCACCAGTTACTCCGACGCACACATGCCCTCTGCCTCATTTGTAAATCTGGAGGGAAAAAAATTAATAATAATCGTCAATGCAAACAGTTGCTCCTTTGTACTTGGAGCTGTGTCTCCCGTGGCTGGTATCCAGTTCTGTAACAAGCAGCAGCTGGCGAAGAGGCCTTTTTACTCTGGCGCTGCAGCTCTCACACTGATGAATGTGGCATTTGTTGCTTGTTTCGCTGCCACTATTGTTCGGACCTAAAACCGACCACACAACTACAACAGTCGAGGCTTTCTTGACTGAACAAGATGAAGTTTTTGGAAGGCTTCTTTAGCCAAGCTGTGCGCTGCATTCCTGGAAACTGTTTAAGTGAGATTCGGTCAGAAATATAGTCTGGACTGGCACAATCTAATGGAGGGTTTCCTACCGAAAATGAGTCACCGTTTGAGTAGAATGTTCATGACTCATCCACATTTTCTTTGGTCCTCGTTTTTTTTGCAGGTTCTGACATAAAAGGTTGGGAACAGTGTGCAATGAATTACTTTTCTACCATTCCTACTGTTTCTTCATTTGTTTTATATTTCTGGCCCAGATCTGTTTTCCATTCAATTATTTACTGTACATGACTTTGCTCCTGTTAGCATACATTATAGATGTGTGAAAGACTACAGCACATTCTGACTTGCGTACAAATTTGGGTTATGTCGCTGCTGTAGAAATGGAACTAGGTCGTAAACCGAGAACCACCAGCCCACAGAAATCCTCAGTACTTTCTGAAACCAACACACAATTGTTTTGCACCTGTTTTAACTGGCAAACTTTGCACAGTTGCGAGAGTTTCTTTTTGACCGAATAGAACTGAATGTGTGCCAGGATTTTATTTTTTAAACAGTGTCAGGTACATGCCATAATACCATTCACAAATTTTCAACGGCCTTCGTTTTTGCAATGTTTTTTATGATCTTTCAAAATTAGTTTAAAACTAAACCGTGAAATCTTGACCCATTGGGAAAAAAACACATTTCTAAATTGGGTACTGAGCTGCAAATGTGTGGGGAAACCTGATGTTGCAGATTGCAGCAGAAACTAAATCTTCACGGAAAAGACAACCATGTATAGTGCCGGTCAACTTTCATGGTTTAAGAATTGATGCGGTGTAATATAACTTGATGAAAATGCCATTTTTGTACTCCCGCTTTAAAAATATATAGCAGTGGCTTGACTTCACAGCGGTTGCAAACTCCCACCCTGTCCGCCCGCCTCCAAGAGACAATCCTCATAAGTGGTGCGTCAGTGACCACGAAATGTTTTTTCTGCGGCAGAAAGGCAATTTTATTTTGTTTCACCAAGGAGATATCGCAGCGTGGCTCCATAGCAGGTAGTATGCTCACACGGGATCCCTCGGTGAATAAAACCAATTAAAATCCACTTCAAGGCAAAACATTACCTTTTCATCTGAGCCCCTTAATGTCCTCTTTCCCTCGGCTTATCTTGTGGCTGTCCCAGCTGGCACAAACCAAGAGTGTCCGTAGAAGGCTAGGGTCCAGAGAGTCAGTCATGTCAGAGTCTCACCGTCGGACTAAGTTCCTGTGGGATGGGCATCCTCAACACAGTACACCACGAGTCCCATCTCACAGAACCTCAAAATCCTGAAATGTCTGAACAAAAGTAGATAAACTGTGATAGTCTCAACTATTTCTGATGAAAGCTAAAAGGACGACTGCCAAGTCAGCAATCTCCCACGTGTGCCAACACTTGAACAATCACAACAACGCAATCTGCAACTGTTTTTCGGTCATGCATTTTTCCGTATTTCTCGCTGTTGTGATGGGATTGATTTTGGAGTTGGAACTGGAGCAAAAAGTCATGCGGATGAGGAAAAGAAAAGGAGGGGTCGGCCGGGAGGAAGAGGCGCATAGTGCAGTGCAACAATGAGCTGAAAGTGGGTTAGGGTCATTGGGTTTTTGTTGTCATGAACACTCACTGCTTAGTGTGGGGAAGGTTGTGAATGTTATAATGGAAATGTGTCAGTTCCATTTTTGCATACACTCAAGCATAACACAAGAACTCAAATATTAGTTTTTTTTTTTAGTTTTTTTTATTCTGTCCGTGAACTGAAATGGTCTCAAGAGGAGACAAGAGCACATCCCTCATCTTGGATTGCTTGTCCTTAATATGACTACATGCGTGGGAACTGCCGTTTTGCTCCTCGTTTTTGCTATCCATCCTCCAGGTGTGGGTTCACTGGACCCGTGGGAGTAAAATTCCACAAGTCCACTGCTATCCAAACAGCAGTCTCAACTTTGGCAGATGTTTGATTCATGCTGCATCTCCCGTTTGGGCTAGATTACCAGTTAAAAGCAATCACATATACAGATGATGATGATGACTTGAAATGTTCATTCAATACTCAGTTACAGGGGGCCTCTGTGGCAACATAACCCGAGTTCCGTTAGAAGTACCGACTGTCTAGTCAAATTTACAGTAAATATTTCTGAGAAACACTTCTGGTCCATGAATTGAAAAAATAAAATAAAAAACGAAGTACAGCGGTGATTGAACGTGCCTCATTGGGCCACATATGTTTTTACACCTTTGCGCACATTAGTTTGTAGTGCCCAATTCATAACCTCATGAGCTGAGCTATTTTCGTGACGCGATTACATAAAAATTCAATACAGTCTGCCTCGGTAGAGGCAAATTTGTACAGTTACACCAGAGCCAAATGGCTTTGAGAATATGCTACTTCGACACATAGAGGGCTCACACACGCCTGGTAAAAAGTGGACAAACAATGTAGGACAAAATAATAATTGCAGTCTGTGGGCACCAGGACTTGTACAAGACAGCCAGCTTCCAATGCAAGCCAAAAAGGAGCAGGCGTAGGCTACTTGGCGTTGCTGCTAAGTTAGTGTAAGGACTCGTTTACAGCTAGTAAACCAAGATCGAAATAGATTTAGCAAAAACCCTGGCCAACTAAATGACTGATGATGGTATTGCAAATGTAAACATTATGTTATATTGAATGTTTTGGGTTTAAATTCTTTTTTCCAATGCATTTTCAAAATGGCGGGTCAACTGTAAAGTAAATATACAAATTATATTTTGCTCCATCTTCTGATTGAATTGGTGACAGAGTATCGATTTATTTTTTATTTCCCTCCCCCGCCCCCCCAAATCTTCTGATCGCTGATTGGCTTAAAAAAAAAAACTGTAAAGCATAAAGCCGACTGCATACCTATTTCTACTTTCCTGTTAGCCAGGACTTGTGGAATCTTAGAAAGAGCACAAAGTGAAGACATGAATTTCCATACTGCAAACTGTGTTGCAATCTTGTGGAATCTTAGAAAGAGCACAAACAAAGTGAAGACATGAATTTCCATACTGCAAACTGAATAGAAGGATGTTCACGAGATTAGATATTGGATCACTGGATCTACAATTTAAATTTGGATATTTGGACATGGGAAAACGTTCTCTTCCACAATGTTTATGGAACACACTCCATCCCCCAGTCAGTTCTTCCGGTCCTAGTGGCCCTCAACAGCGTGAGAATTGTCAAGGAAGGCACGCAGAAATGCTCTCCAAAGGGCACCCCTCAAAGATGGCTTAAGCATGCAAGAAAGTGCATCTTGGAGATGGCCGTTGTGGGGCTCTTTACCTCTCCAGAAAGTAATTATTCCAAAAGACATTCATTAGGCCTCGTCTCTCTCTGAGCAGATGGCCTGCAATAGAAGTGCGTCGTGCGCAATTAGCGAGGCGATGGGATGTTTCTCCCACCCCTTGCTCATACTGTACGTCAGCTCCTCACCACAGCTCATGTCCTGCTCTTAACCTTTGCACCACCAAATATGAGGCTCTTGAGTCAAATGACATGTTTTCTTTTAGCAGGGGATACTTATTGCTTCACATCAGTCTTCTTACTTCATATGTCTATGTGTATCTGTTGCCGTGCTTTTTGTTTCGGCCAGACACATTTCTCACGTTTTATGGCATCCTTGTGGTCATTCTTTCACTGGAGTCAACATTTCAACTGTAACGTATGCGCGTGCTGCTGTTTAAAAAAAAAAAAAAAAAAAAAAAACCTCCACAGTAAGAGTACTCTGTGAGTTTGTTCGGCCCAGATTTGTTTTCCCTTCACTGCTTATTGCCGAGTTCAAAGCTAACTGCTGTTTGATGGTCTCTCCTGCCAGCAGCCAGAGGGATGACACGCTCATTTCCTCCGAAAGGATGTGTTTTAGTCTTAGGAAGCCTTAGGAAATTTAAGATTAGCTGAGCCTAATTATCCGAAAAGTACAAAATCAAAGGCTAAGTACAGGATAAGATTTTAAAGTTAGCCTTAAAATACGGTAACAGTTGGTTTATTAAGATCACTGATTAATAAGCCACGATGCATCCGTCCATCCATTTTCTGTAGTGCTTGTCCTCGTTGGGGTCGCAGGTCAGCTGGAATGTATGCCAGGGTACACCCCGGACTGGTTGCCAGTCAACTGGCAGACACACAAAGAGAAATAGCCATTCACATCCACACCGATGGAAAATTTCGAGTCTTCAATTAACTTGGGAAATGACAGAACACGACACAAGCGCAGTATGAACATACAAGAAGGCTGAAGCAGAGATTCAAACACCAAACCTCAGAACTGTGAGGCAAACATGATAAGCGCGAGTCCACCGGCTAAAAAAACTGCACATACAAATAAAAAACAAAAACAAAAGCTGCCCTTTTCCATGTCAAGTGGATCGCCCTTAATTTGAAGACTGCACTACATAGCATTTTTGCCAAGATGATGGGGTGCAGATCTGATCTGAGCGACTATTTCGAATGTGTCAATATGTCCAGATTTTATTCAAAAACGTGAATGGGTAACACATAAAACATGGAGATTATTGAAAATTTCCTGAACAGTATGATTTTGGTAAATTAAAAACAAGCTAATAAAAACATGACACTCCCGGGATTGAGAAAATCCTAATAACTTCCATATCCATTTAAACCACAAGGGTTCTAGGTGGAGGAAAAAGCTTTCATGGCAAAATACTATAATTTTATGAGTCTCTTTTCCATTAATCTAAATGTACTTTTTTTCTTACACTTAGGATTCCGGAAAATCAGCCTGGACGATCTGCGTAAGGCCTACATCGTCAAGGATGTGCAACAGTACATC